ACAAACCAATGTCAATCATTGCATTCCCCCAGTCTAAACTGGATCAACAAATGTCCCAGAATTCACTTGGGTCAATGGTCCCAGAACTCACTAGGACTTTGTGGAACTGTTGTACAGGGAACAGATACTCTCCTTTCACTAACACTGGAGTTACGGGGCTATGAACGTGAGGCTAATTGCAATCCATCTTGCCTGCAGGAGGAAGTGCTTACCTGTTTGGAGCCTACTCAGAGGCAGGCAGAGCAGATGGGTAAGAAGAGATAGGTTTGGATTCAGCTGTGCTCAAGCCTGAGACATTAAATCAATTTCCTATTTTGCCCAAATGAGTTTAAATATTTTTGTCACTTGCAGTCAAAAGAATCTTAAATGATTCATCCTCTCTGAATCTTGATATCTGAACTTCTAAAGTGAGAATGTTGAAAACTAGTCAATGTTTCTCAGCAGTGGTACCATTGGCATTGAGGTAGGAAAATTCCTTATTAGGCAAATTGCCCCTGTCCACTCTTCAGTCTTCACACAGCCAAGTACCCAGCACATCCACACACACACACACACACACACACACACACACACACAATTTCCAAATGCCCTCTAGTGAAATACTACCCCTAGATGAAAACAAATAAACTAGAAAACCTAAAAGACCTTCACAACCAAGCTGAAATTAACCATGTTGTGTACCAGTCTACTTTTAGCATCAACTGAGAATAATTTAATTTGTGTCAATTTCTTTGAAAAATGAAGATATTAATATACAACCCATTGTGGGTAAATCTGTCAAAGAATTATGACAATAAATTACTTTCTATGACATAGCTCTAGCATAACCTAAAATGGATCCTTAGCATTCCCAATGTAAATATCCTAAATGCTTTTGAATACCATGCTTGCATGTAATTTGTCCCATTAAAAAGACAGGGAAAAAAATAACTGAAATTTAAAAAGTGATCTTTTCATACACTTAATTTTTCTGTCAATAAAGGACTAAGTTCATTTACATGGTTACTCTCTGTAGCCATTGTTTTTCTAAACTTCTTTAATGACAACTCCAGCAAAAGCCCTTAGCACAGGGGTTATGAGAGGCTCATTTTTACAAGGAAGTGGGCCTAAGTGTTCCTGCAAGACTGACTAGAGAACAAGATGAAGTGGGTGGCTGGGAGTATGTTGTGCTCACTCGCTTCTCCATGCTTCAGGGCATAATTTACTACTTGTCATTCTTTGTTTGCCAAACCCACAAATATTAAATTCATGAATGCCAAGGACCTCCTGTACCCACAGTGCTGAGTAGGCATGGAAGAGTAATGTTTCCAGTGCTATTTATCAAAATTTATCAGTTTTTAAGTCTATTTTTATGTTACCTTTGTAATCTTTGTGAACTTTGTTGTTTTTTGCTCTTAGCCATGTTGCTTTTTCTTCTTGGCAATTGTATGCTCTTAATATTAATCCTCAAACAAATGGTCTAAACTGGCAACTTTGGGTACGTTGGGAGACTGGGCTACGTTCCATGCGTTGGCTTTGAAATTTGAGCGTAATAAGATGACTTCACATTGCGTGAGCATGCCAACCAAGCTCGGGCTGAGGGATTCAGCCACGACACAGACTGTCCCTTCATCCAGCTCTCTTCAAAACTGTCATAAATTATTGCTGCTGGATGTATTCCCAGGAGTCTGGGGATTTGAGGGGTATCCTTAAAATCCACCCTACTAACCACCTCTTCTCTCCACAGCAGTAACTTTACACAATGAAAACAAATCAGTCACTATTTGGAGGCTGAAATAGAAGTATTATCAACATCATAAAAGTGAGACAGAATGGGCAAGTAAGAGGAGGAAGTCAAACCACTTCAAAACTACTTTTTTTGGGAGGGGAGGTGAGGTTTGAACTCAGAGCTTCATGCTTGCATTCAAACCTACTTTTAAAGTTTCAGGTTGTGTAGAGAGTATCCCTGAAACCGAATGGGAAACCTCAATCTTTTCTTTTTTTTTTTTTCTTATTAACATTTTTTTTCTTTTATTCATATGTGCATACAATGCTTGGGTCATTTCTCCCCCCCTTCCCCCCAATCTTTTCCACTTTTATCTTTGAAGCCAAAAGTTGACGGGAAGGGTGGCCATGAAGAATAGCCCATGCCTTAGTGAATAGCAAATATCAGGACTATTCAAGTAATTTCCCACCTTAACTTTGCTTAATTACTGTGGATGTCCTGAATAGTCTTCCTCAGCTTCTCTTTATTTCCTTTACTTCCACACCTTCACTCTTCAAATTTAGGTCGTGCAAAGAACATGAGACCTGACGTTCAGCATATTAGACCAGGTCAAGCCTTACATGGGGCTATTTATACATCAGAGACATGGAGGTATCCAGAGTCTTGTCTGTCCCGCCTTCATGCAAGGTAATCACCTCCAGCTGGGCCAAGTTGTGGGCAAATGTTCAGTTTTCACATGATTTTGCTGCAGCGCCATAATGAATGCATTTCTTTGATGGAAGAAAGACGTTTCATGAAACAAACTGTTTAAGGATTTGGAGTTGAAGCTGGAAACATGGGCTGCTTTGTTCTTTTGACAATTGGTTTGCTATCTAAAACATTTCTCCATTTTGAAGTCTCTGTCTTTTCTCTTCCAGCCTCAGCCCTCCAGCTACAATAACAGACCCATGATTTCTTTAGATGCCAAGGTTATGAATACTCTTTTATGAACATTTCCTTTGAACTCACTTCTCTTGGAGAAGAAAAATAACTGTATGTGTTGCAGGGTTGACAGTAATAGGCAAAACATACAAATTGTTCTCTTAGGGGCAGTAAAATGCTCTAAAATGCACATAAAAAAATTCCAAATGCAACATAATGTTTATATAGCAGTGCTTTTGCAGCTATCACTTTCAAAAAGTAATATTTCTGACTGGCATGAATTATACCAAACATACTTCAGAGATTAATATCAAAATTAATACCTTAAAATGTCTCCCTTTATGACATCATGATTGCTTTTCTCACATTAATGCAGACTCCTAGTGAATAAATTTTGTGTGCCATTTCAAAGCAAGAAACCCTCATTGGATTAAGCTGCTTATGTTTTTACTTTCTCATTTATCCCATTTCAACACATCCTTCAACCTCCTCTAAAAATAATTCTACGAATTCCAACTCAACAGATTATAGTAGATCTCCTATTAATTTCAGCCTGCCTTAAAAGGAGCTTATCATTTCAGCTTATAACTCTATATTCAGTACTGTCAACTAATGTACTAATAAGTACAGTCCTTATTAAAACTTACTTTCATGCTAGCAGTTTATCATCAGTTAAACCACTTATCACTTAAACCAAACTATCATCAATTAAACCATTTCTTTTCTGGTATTAAAAAGAATGCCTTCACTGAATGCTTTCAAATGTTTTTTCTCATCCAAAAAATTAATCTGGAAAACCGAGCTCCCTTTAATCCTGCTTTGTGGCTTAGATTCTTTAGCCCTGGAACCACTTCTGTGACTATCTGTGATAGTCACATTAATACAAAAATAGCCTTCGCTGTGGTAGAGAAATAATTCTGCACAGAGATGATGTGCCTTTGATGCCTGGCGTTGTCGAGTGAATTGAGGCAATAAGGATTTAAGAATGCTTCCTCACACTGAGGGAGTGACTCATAAACATTTCAAGATATGACCACTGCTTTGCATTTGACATTAAGAACATTTTGCAAAGTCCTTTTTATATACAGAGGCAAAATTCTATAGTGGTCCAGAGCATGCACAAGCTTTAGAGACATTGTTGCAATTTCCCAGCCACAAGATCTTGAAGAATACACTTAACCACTCTGAGCATCATAAAATGGGGCAGATAATAATACCATCTACCTTGCAGGATTGGTGCGAGGATGAAGTTGATAAAAAATATATATATGTATATATATCACTGTGGCATTGTTTGGCACAGAGTTAGCAATCAATAAGTGTTAGTTTTTAATATTATCAACTAACAAAGGTGTGACATCCCTTTATAAGTAACTTTAGAAGCAGCTTGGTAAAATAAAAAGAAATCCTAGAAATACCCTATTCTGTAAAATGTGAAATTACAGGCAGATAATGTTATGTATATATATATATATATATATATATATATCATATACATAATTCTGGCTACATTATATATATGTAGTCATATAGCTAAAATTGTATTTATTCTTTTCTTATCTGTAAAGTATGTTTTACCAAGTAAATTTCTTTCCCAATGACTTCCATTCTTATTAAACATAAAGTAGACATTGCTTCCCCACTCAGCTGGTCTGTCTCACTCTTTACCAGTCTCAGACAAATAATTCAGTGAGTATTTACTCAGTTTCTACCCTTAACAGGGAACACACAGAGAACAGTGGCTCCAACTAACCTCATTTACATGGCAGGATCAATTTCCTTAACTGTTCAATTGATCAAGTTTATATTGGTACATAATTATTTCCTATCACTAGAGACAATTAAGATGCGATGAGTTTCTAGGAAAAAATATGCTATAAGTAATTGGCTAAATGTAAATGCCATATTATTTATTTATACAAAACTTATCATAACTCATGTATTACTATGGTATTACCTTAATATTGACTCTAGAGACCACACTGAATGGTCTTTTACTGTCTCATCTCAACCCAAAACCAAAACAGCAAATATGTGTCCTGTAATTACATTGTTTAACAGGAAAAAATGGTCAAAAAATTATAGCTACAGTTTGGTTATACCTTTGTAAGAAAAATCTGCAAAGGAAAAAGAGAAAAAGCTAAAGAGGCAATGGAGATTCTGTTAATATAATGGAATTGCACTTTTCTTTTAACTCATTTTCCAATGGCTTTCTTATTGACCATACTATTTTTACAATCAAATGTTAAAGTTTTAAAACTATAAAAATTGGGCTACATATTAAATTATATGTGTCTTCATTTATATACATATCAAAAAGAAACTGACAACAAAGCATTTAATTCAGATTTTAATTCTCATGAAATTCACCCTATAAAGATTTCTCCAAGAAATATGAGATCCTTCAAAGTACACCTCTGTTTTGTACTATAGGATAGATTCCCCAGTATGAAAAATCATAAAACTATGGTTACATATTGCACACCAACATTAAACTTAAGTACTATATAAAAGTCTATGATATTGACAAGTGATTCTGACTTTATTTCATAGTTTTTATCTAAAGGAATTTCAAAAAGATACATATTTTGTTTTCCTCACATGCTCCCTTTTCTCGCTAAAAGAAAATTAACGGGCAGTTGAGGACATATATAATTCTATGATTCACTGATCACATATTCAAAGACACCTACAGAATGAATCTATAGGATAGATATTTCTATACCACATTTATCACACTATTTTTTATTGGGGGGGTGCTGAACTCAGGGCTTCCCACTTGCTCAGCAAGCACTCTATCACCTGAGCCATGCCTCCAGTCCTATCAGATTATTTTAAATGGTGTCTTGACCTTAGAATTCAATATAGAAGCAATTGCCATGAACTAAATCAGAATATTACAGATGAAGATATTCCATTACAAAGACTTGAATGATTTTGTTTAGATTGTCAATGGTCGACTCATCCAAATTCTCTTCATTGTCATCCATGGTATGCCAAACTTCAGGGAAAGGAGATGCTATCAGATGCAGAACTGGAACACCTGATGGAAAAGAATTGATTTGTAATTCAGTGCATGATTCCAGTGAGTAAACTAGAAAGTGACATTCTACAAGCAGAGGGAGCTCTGTACCACATAAAGATACCTGATGATTCATCCATCATCTCTTGTGCACTTCCTTATATCTTACCCTTGTACTTCAAAAGCATTAGTTTATTAAACAAATATTAACTAATTCAGTAAATAATCATAAGGTACCTACTACTTACCAGTTCTGGTTCTCAGAGTTGAAATTTCATTAGTGAAAAGACAACCTCTCCCCATATGGGGTTTATATTTCAGTGAAAAAAGAAGCAAGTTAACACTTATAAAACATAATTTTAGGAACTGATAAAGTTTATTAAGAATAATAAAACAAGGCAAGGGAATAAAAATGAAGGGGGAGCAGCAGGTCTAAGAATGGGGGGAGTTATTTAAAGTCAGGGAAGGCCTCTTTGAGAAGCTAATATTTAAATAGGGACACACATCAAAGGGAAAGCAAACTATGCAAAGATCTTGGGATGACCATTGCTGGGAGCAAGAATAAAAGTCCTGAGGCAGGTAGGTATGTGTGCATGTCCTGCTTGGAGAACAGTAAGATGGTGTGGCTAAATTAAAACAAAAGTTGTAAAGAGAGGTGGAGGTGATACTGAGGAAGGAGAACAAAGTCAGAAAGAAAGGAAGTTTTGTAGGCCATGGTAAACATTACATCTTATTCTATAAGATGGCAAATGACTAGAGCTTTAAAACAGCAAGTAGCACAATCTTGATTTACATTTTTAAAAGATAACTGCAGTTCCTAGGGAAAGAATAGAGAAGCGAGAGTAAACTCTGGAATAGAAGAGTCAAGTCCCTGCATTGATTCAGACTCATCATCTTGACACAGGATATTGCTTTCTTATTGACCAGACAGACAGAGCTATACAGAGGAAAGAATATAACTCCATGAAAAGGAAGACAGGATTGCCAGTGGGATGTGGATTTTCATAAATATTCTACATGTAAGAAAAATTAAAGGTGCCCTCAAGGCTTGGAATGATTTTCATGACAAAATAGAAGCCTTGAAATGATATGACAGATGGTCTAGTTAATCAATTAATTAAATTTAATGGTTCCTGGCTCTTTTATGTTGTTACAAATCAGGGGAAATCGGAATTACTAAGGCCAAGTACTGCATATCAATATTCAACTTAGATGCCAACTGGAAAACCTAAAAACGAATGTGTGTGAAAGATATAGATGTGGAACATGGAGAAAGGACACCTCCCAGGAGTCTGACCTGAACAACTGGATAAATACAGATCATTTACTTCAGGTAAGGTTGGGAAAGGAGCATTTATTTTCAAGCCAATCATTCCTCCATATCAATGAACAATAGTGTGGGTGCTATCATTTCATTTGATAACCTGGAGAGGTCTATTAAGGGATGTTAAAGTATTACATGTTGCATCTGAATCATTCCTGGTGTCAATCAAGACCAAATGAGGAGTGTACAGACATCTTCCTTCTCAGTTAATTTGGCTTACACATCTAGCTTCTATCTGATAGGCACATAATCAGAAGACACATATTGGTCATGGCTTATTTATAGCAAAATATGCATACTTTTTTTTAAAGATAGGTTCTCATTCAATTAATTTTATTGTCTAATTTTAGATCATTTGAAACATTTTTAGATAGGTTAAATTATTAACAAGTAAGTTTAGTGCAGTCAATATTAAAGGGGGGATGGTCTTAGTGATTCAAAGTGTACCAGTTTTTGTTAATGTTTAATTTGCTTCTCAAATGTATGCAATAGTTAGAGACCTAGAAAATTTCACCGCTAGAGAAAGCTATGTTATGACACCAGCAAGCTAAATAAGGTTCAGGAATAAGCCATGGCTGATGAGCCATGTAAGAGTGGATAAATAATATATAGTCTTGAAAATTCAAAATGCACATAAAATATAAAAAAATATAATAGATAAAAATGCACATGGATAGACACACACACAATTACCTTTTCTTAAAAATGGGATATGGTCATCCTGAATAATATTTCCATAACCAAAATTCTGGAAATACCTCCTCTCCATAGAGTGATCCTTGAGCAAACCCAACTCGTGAAGTTCACGTTCTGCAAATGACAATTAGATAACAGATGAACCTCCATTTTTATTGATCAAGGCTCAGAACGCATCTTTATTTAAGGAGTTTGAAATCTTATCACATGTAGCCATTACTTTTAATAATGGCAGAGAACAGGGTCACATCCATTATAATAAACGTCTGGGCTGACCTTGGGTATGTACAGCTGGATTAGGAAGAGGCTCTAGCCTTATAAGTGAGAACCTCCTTAGAGGTAGAAACTCAACAGAACAGATTGAGATTAAGAAAATCAGAGGAAAAGGGTTTGGGAAAATTCAGGTATAGGTGATTACAGGTCTAGATAGTGCATGAATAATGCCTAAAGAGGATATCTGGGGCTTAACAGCAGACTAGGTTGACATATATCAAGTGACCACTCTACAGGAGTATCTTTTGTGACCTATGTCAGTGAGTCCCAAGATGTGCCCCCTAACCAGAAGCATCAGCATCACATGGGAACTACCTGGAAATACAGGTTATCTGGTTCCACTTTGACTTACTGAATCAGACTTTCTGGAGCCCAGCAAATCTGTGTTATAATAAGCCCTCCTGGAAATTCTGATGCAGACTAAAGTTTGAGGACCACTATCTGCATCCCATCACTCATGTCATCTTGAACAGATAACCCATGTGTTACATATAATTCATGTGCTGCATACTACAAGATGACAAGAGGTCACAAGGAGACTATAAAACAAGTAAGTGAAACTTCCTAGGATAGCTGTTTATTTTTTTAATTGCTAAATTTAGAGGGTAAAATGAGGCCAACTAGGAAGCAACCATGTGTAACAGGATTTTAGGAACATTGAGAAAGCCCTAAAAAACAATGTTCCTCTCTGTTTATTGATATCTTTACCATAGTATATAATTTTTCCTTTTATACTTAGAGATATAGTTTGAAGTATAAATGCACTGAGGAAAGGCAGCACAAATCTGCAATAAGGTATACATTATTGATAGCAGTTTATTCTGGTATCAGAAATAAGAAAAATACACAAAATCCTTGAAAAAAGTTTAATTTCTAGAGGCTTTTAGGATGCTGCAAGGAAGAAACCCAAGGAATTTATATTAATAATACCATGTAGCAATTCTTTTAAACTAAGAATTGAAATTTGCTGAAGATAAGCACCTAAGGTTTGGGTAGAAGTCGCTCTCATACCATTCTGGGTCTGTCTTGGCAAATACTTGACTATAGCAAAGGTGAGAGCTAAGATGGCAGTGCTTTCCCACTGCTTGGAATAATACAATTCTGCACTGGAGGCATGGCTCAAACAACAGAGTGCCTGCCTAGCAAGACCAAATCCTTGAGTTCAAACCCACTACCACCATCAAAAAAAAAAGGACGAAGTAATACAATTCTATCTTGCTCCATGAAATCTGCTTTTCTCATAGTGAATTTCTAGTTGATCAACATGCTTTGCTGGGTAAAGTTTTCTCTAGAAATGCATTCCATATGTTTCAAACAGGAGTCTGGGAAAAATATTTTCAAACCATTCCTAAGAATATCAGACTGCAAAATGTAGTATTTTATATTTCATTTCAAACTACAGTTTCATGCAGGAAAATAAACTGGACCTGCTAAAAGATATGAATAGGAATAATAAACTAATCTATAGAGCAAGAAAAATACCAATATATGACATACTTAAATCATAAATTTTTAATTTTAAAATGAAGTACTTATTAGTAGGAAGAAATTACATTTTACCCTTTAGTAACTGTATTGCTTACCAATTACTTCAAGTCTATCAAACCATCTGGCAGAGTTTGGGAAAAAATTTGGAAATGTTGGGTTTCGAGCTCCAATTAAATCCAATAAGACCAATAAGTCCTACAGGAGAAAAATATTGTTTAATCATAGTCACCAAAGCACATTTCACATTGATCAACACAGAAAAAACAAACGTTAAAACGAAATACATTTTAGTAGTTGACAATAATACTGGGAGCTGTATAAATGAAAACAAATTTTAATAATCTTGTATGATAATTACTTAGGAGAATTTTTTAAATCTCACTTATGCAATGTGTACAAATGACAAAGTGTTGATTCTTTGCATACGTACCCCCAAATACCACTAATTTATAAGTTAGAAATGGAAATTTGGACACATATTTTATAGATTTAAAAAGGACACATTTACTTTATTTTCAGATGGGTGTCCAAGCCTGTCTGACTTTGTTCCTTTCTAATTGTCATTTTATCCTTAATTGTAATAATACAACAGCCTACAGGAAAGCACTTGGATAGTAACTACTCATCAGCAACATGTAAGAAGAATTCCTTGCAAGGAATAATATGATATTGTATCTCTGGATCTCCATTTTGTTGTGCATCAAACCAGAAACAAACTCACTAATCAATAAAGGTCCACTCTGGTTATAAGCCTCTATTAATTAAACAAGTGTTCCTTAATGAGTCAATAAAACATCAGCGGGCTTGAAGACTATCTTCTATTTTAAGACTTCCTGATTTTATATAAGTGAAATAATTTGTGGGTAAACATGAATAGATCCTGACACATAGTAGATAAATATTTTCAGATTCTGTGATTGCAAAGATACACAATGTATAGTCTCGTGAGTAATAATTACATGTATTCATTGTTAAAAAAATAGGCTTGTTTGAAATAGGAACATATTCAGAAGGTTGGAAAAGCAACTAATCTGTTTCGGCGGGGGGAAATGGTGTATTTCATCACTGTGGACTCAAATGTCTGAACTGATAAGTAACTTTGTTCCTACTACTGAACAACCACCCTCTCCTTCTCTAAACCCTTTTCAGCCTTGGGCACAAGCAAATGAATGAAGTACTGGCCATATCCCCTGACCCAGGATAAGCAGCCAATGGACACAGGGGTGTTGGGGGAGGCAATTCCAATATGAGGTGCCTTTGATAAAGTCATATGGGTATTTGACTCATAGGGCAAAGGAGAGGGATGAGTGGAGAAAGAGTGGAGGTTAGGAATAGGTTATCTGTTTACAAATGGAGTGAGGGTCAGGGATAGATGAAGAATGCTGAGAAGAACGAAGTCTCAAGGGCAGCAAAAGGTTCTAAGCTAGGGTTAGTGAGGACTTAGGGACTGAGTAAAGATAAAACATGGGGAGAAAGTTAAAGTCAGGAAAGGTTCACTGGTAAATTGAGAGATTAGTGCTAAGTGTGAACCTAGGAACAGGGATGAAGGTGAAGCTGTAAGCAGTAAGATTTTAAGGCAGCATCAGAATGTCACTACTGCATGTTAAAACTACCACATGAAACCAAAACATCAAAATGTCATACATACAACAGAGTCACCATAATGCTTTAGAGGCACTGAGGGACTTCCTCTCTCCTATCCCCATTCTTACTCCACTTCCCAGGATCCCTGCCTCCCCTGCCTATATGAAGACTTTAAGAAAGGATCGATTCTTTCCACCTCCGTACAGCACTTGGGGAAAGTGCTCCCATTGTACCAAACTGAATCTCATGGTTCCTTAATCCTATGTCACATCATTTTAATTAAACTCATCCACACATGACTCTTAACCCAGATCATTCTTTCTAGCTCTGGGATTCCTCAAAAACCCAGTGCCTGCCAAGGAATGTTCTGTTATAAACACTGCTCTGAGAATTTCATGGCACTCTTAGGTCTTAACTTGGCTTTAGCAGCCTTTTCTCTGGAGGCACAGCTTGCACTGTGGAGCCATGGAAATTCCTCAGACTAACCATGCCATGCACTTGGTTGGTGCCTCTTGCTCCTGGTGGATGTGGGGTGGATGCCATCTTCATAGCTAAGTGTCGAGATCCGTACAGGGAATCCTGAGGAGACCAGTGAAGAAAAGCCTCTTCTCCATCAAAGAAAATTAACTGCAGGGAGAGATCTGGCTTGGAGTCTGAGATGTCCTGGTAAAAAGAACAACAAAAAAAAGAGTAAAAATGCTCTGGTGATTAAAAAAAAAAGTACTTTTTTCCTATTAACTGGGCAAAAATGATAGATGTACCATAAAAAAAGGAAGATTGCAAAGCAAGTAAAACTATGCCAAAATTCATTTCATACCACTTCCTCTCTAAAAATCATCAAGCCTCCCACAATCCTCACCCATCTAAATCTCACCTTCTCCCACTCCCTCTCAAAATAGATGCCTGCTATTTGTTCTCACTCCCTAGAGAATTTTGAAACTATGGAAGGGTTGTGATGAACACTGTAACCTACCACTCAGTTCCCCTGCAGGAGGGTGCATTGTCCCAGCTGCTGAGAGAGCTGTCAGCCACTTCCAGGATTGCCTCTACAAGCCGCTGTTGGGAGTGACTTCCATCCCATAACCTGCCACACAGACACTGGGGCCTCTCTAAAGACCACTGCACCTCCAGAGTTCCTCAGAACTTGGCTGAGGCTACTGCTGAACCGGCAGTGCAGCCTGGCTCCTTCTGCCTAATCCCATTTCTTTCCTCTCCCAGTTACTAGTGTTGATCTAAGGCCACTCCCTACTGAATGACCTGAATGTCCCACATCAGATGATGCTCTCCATCAGAATGTGACTCCTGGGAAACTCAACTTGAATTAACTGCACTTCTTTCTTATCTCACTTTATTTATGTCTGAAATTTTTAATTGAACCTGGGTTCTAGAATCTGCCTTAGGAATGCTGTGGGGACACAATCCTTTTAAGAGTCTACCTTTCAGTTGGGTTAGAAGAGATAAAACAAATACATGCTCATGGCAAAATATGTCAAGAGTCACAGGTGTAACATAAGTCCTATGGAAGCTGGATAGAATGAGAGGCAGAAACCTTGGGGTATCTTGAAAGCTTTAAGAAAGACTGAGATAGAAAATAGGACTCTGATCACTTCTGCCCTTTCCACTGTCTGGCAAGTACTCTTACCTTTTAGATAATTTCAGCTGGTACTCTAGATCCCCACAAGATTGCTGGAATCCCTAGTCTATCGAATCTTTCACCTTTTCTCAGTCCTTCAGCCCATAGCGTGCTCACTTCACTTGGTATTCAGCTTAAATTCCAGGCAATCATTCTCACTCCCTTGCCTCCCTGATTGATCAAATCCTCATGACCAAACCAGAACGTGAAGTTCATCTCTCTACCCACTTTGTGCCTACACTCATGGAGCTGAACCTGGCTAAAGAAAATGCACAACCACACTGTTTGGTCTTGCTTTAAAATTCATGACCACAACCTCGAGATGGCCTTTCATGTTAACTGGCAGTCATAGTGCATTTTCTGGGCCTATTCACCCTCAAACTCTTTTAGTACTTCAAATTTCTCCTCTTCCAAACCTGCACTCCCAAATGAGGACTTGACACTTCTTGCCATGCTCGTTGAATGCTAGTCTTTCCACACCTGCACTAAATCCCGTCTCATGGCATCTGCTCAAGGACAGTGTTCTAGAAAATACAATTTCTTTTCTACATCATCAATTTTCTTATCTCTGCTGGATAATTCCTATCGGCCAACAAACATGCTATTGCTTCTTTCCTCTTAAAACATTTGACCTGCTAGGGGTGTGACTCACATGGTAGAGTGCCTGCCTAGCAAGAACAAAGCCCTAAGTTCAAATCCCAGTGCTGCCAAAAATACAAAAGACAAATAAAATATTTGACCCCACTCTCTTCACCAGCTACTGCCCTATTTTTTAATCTCACTTATAGAAAAATTCCTTGAGCTGGGCACCAGTGATTCATGCCTATAACCCTAGCTACTTAGGAAGCTCAGAACTGGAGGATCACAAATCCAGACAAATAGTTCTCGAGACCCCCATCTCCAAAATAACAAGAGCAAAATGGACTGGAGGTTTGGCTTAAGCAGTAGAAGCCCTTAAGAACTTTGCAAGTATAAAGCCCTGAGTTCAAATCCCAGTTCCACTAAAAAAGAAAAACTCCTTGAAAGAGTTGTCTGTTCACACTGTCTCCAAATCCTATTTTTAAAACCTATCCGAATCAGGCTTTACCACCTCCATCTACTGAAAATGCTCTTGTCAAGGTCACCTTTGACCTTGATACTGGGAAGTCTGAAGATCAACTCTCAGTCTTCATCTTTCTTCACTTATTGGCAGCATTCGACATATTTGATTACTCCCTCCTGAATCTGCTTTCTTCACTTGGCACCTAGGATAGCATGTTCCTCACAGCTCAGTCAGCACTGATTGTGCCTTTCATCTCTCTTCTGTCTTAATGCCAGACTACCCCAGGGCTTTCTCTTTGGTTCTCTTCTCTTCTTTGTTGATATCTACTCCTTTGATATCTGTTTCGAGTCTTCAACTAATATATATGTATGTGCAGACACCCACACACATGCAGACACACACACACACACACACTAGTTCCAAAACATGTATCTCCAGCCCCCACCTCAGTTCAGATATCCAAACCTGTATATTCAATTGCCAAATGAACATCTATCTTCCTGATGTCTGTTTAATAGACATCTCAAATATTAAGTGTTAAAACTCTACTGATGTCCCTCCTGAAACCTTCCTTATCAATGGTCTTCCCCAAGTAAATTAATGGCAACATCACTCTTGCAGTTACTCAGACCAAAAACCATTGGCTGTCTCCTCCTCAACTACTTTCTCTCTGTCTCTCTCTCTCTCTCTCTCTCTCTCTCTCTCTCTCACACACACACACACACACACACACACGCACACGCACACGCACACGCACACACACACACACACACACATCAATCTAGCTCATCCCCCTCTACAAACCTATTTCACACCTTTCCTCACCACATGCCTCCCTTTTGCATTTGCTTCTCTTTTTTTAGCTGAATATGTGGTCGAACTTTCCATATTCTTTTGTTCCTCATGTTTCCGGTTTTGTTTACATGGATGCCTCTCCTACAGCCCTCTCTCTCTGCTCACTCCAGCCTGAGCCAGCTGCTCACTTGGCCTCCTGCCCACCTGTGATCTCAGGTCTTCCTTCACCATCACCCTAGGGACTCCCTGTGCTCTTCTACCTGGGATCCCCCGTGACCAAAACCCCATAACTTTCTATTCCTTGATTTTTCCTGGATTTTGCTGGAGCATACGTAAGTAACTTCTAAAAATAAAGTGCATGAAGTAAAAGTTATTGACACTTAAAGCATCTGAAAACATTGTCATCCTATTCTCATATTTGATTTGGCTGTTCATGAGGATTCCAGGTTACAAACTATTGTTATTTAAAATATTTAAGGTACAATTTCAGTGTTTTCTAGCTTCCAGCATTTCTTTGGAGTAATATAACACTGTTCTCTTTACTTGGTACTTTGTACATGACTAATTACAATTCTTGAACGATCCTCTAGAATCTATCAGCATCTCTTGTTTGTTTTTGTTCCTCTTTCTAGAAAAGATATTTCTTCTACCTTAGAATCCAATTCTCTTACTGATTTTTTTTATTTTGGAAACAGTATTTTTAATTTCTAATTTCCAAGACCTCTTTTTCCTTTCATGATTGTTCTGTTATTGAACATTTTTTTTTCATGGCTGTAACTTCTCCTCTTATCTCTCTAAGGATATTTAAAAAATAGTGTCCAGTTATCTTTTGCTTCTTGTACCACTCTATTTCTCCGACTTCATTTTTCAATTTGTATTATTTGTTTGCTCTCCTTCTTTCATGATGGAGACTGTTCTCCAATGTCTGGTCATCCTCTGTGTTTGCTCATACTAAAGAACGAGGTAGAAAAATGCTAGGTGGAGACACAAGTGGTTGGTTTTGCTGCTGGGATTACAGATATATACTATCATACCTAGCTTGTTTTGTCAAAACCGGTCTCACTAACTTTTTGCTTGGGCTGGCCTTGAACTGCAACCCTCTCCATTTCCACTTCCCAAGTAGCTAGGATTACAGACATGCACCACCATGCCTGGCCCCCTTACACAGATTTATAAACACTCTTCATGCCAGCTCCCTGCTTCCCTCTGAGTTTTTGAAGGATTTTTTCAGGAGACCCGCTGGCCTCTTCCATTCCCCCCACCCTTTACCAGGGAATATGACTTTTCTCCTCTCTGATATCTCACTTGCTGTCTCCATTCACCTCTGTCTCCATATTGTGGCTCCCATTAACACATGTGCCCTAGTTTCTTCAAAGATAGAGTTTTCCTGATTGTTTAAAGGTGATCTCATTAAAAAGAAAAAAATATGTTTAGCATCTGAAAACTAAGCTATTTTTGTGTGCTAAGAGTTTTATCTTATATTGGTTATATTAGATCATAAGAAAAAGACAGTTCATTTCACTTTGAGCCCCTCATCACTTCTGAGAGCAATGAGCAGAGGACATATCTGTGCGACACAGGGCATTCAGGGTTTAATAAGCATTAAGGAGTTAAACAGACTTCTTCACTGGCAAAGATACAAAGTGCACACTTCAGCGGAGACATTCTAAGCTGCCAGTTTAAAGACCTTTTATTATTCCCAAAGGTCTACCTCCAAATCAAGCGGTATAATCACAGAACATGAAGACAGAATGAGACTTTGTGACCAGAGCATTCTGCCAATGGACAAGGCAGAGACAAAAATAAGTAGTTTTCATCTTCTACAAAGCTTGAAGTTTCGGGGTGCCTCACTAACATTTCTACAGCTGGTTGACTCCAATAAACAGTACAATTATTTATTTGCATTCTGTCCTCTGAGCATCAGTTTGGTTAGACAGAAGTGGACTGATGTGGACAATGGTCCTGAGTTCCACAGGCAACCTGCTCTTTTATTCTTCTTTTCAGCATTGTCAGGAAAAAACCCACAGCTTCAATTCCTAGTAGGCTTAGACCTTGAACTTGGAAGAATCTGTGTGGCATGACTTGTGAAGGTCTTTGTGACAATATTATAAATGTCTAGTTATCAGGGTTCACATAGTCAATAAGTTATCTGCAGTCTTTCACAATTCAAGGCTAGCTAATGTCACAGTACTAAAGTGTAACAAACCACCCCAACTCAGTGGCTTAAAACAATTGTGCATGCTCCTGAGATACACAACCTCTGTGAATCAGCTGGGAAACAGCAGGCCTGGGCTGGATTTGGCTGGAGCGGCTCTGTCTCACTCTGCAGTCAGTGAAGTTGGCTCTGTTCCACATGTGCCTTATCTTCCTGCTGAGACTGGCAGGCCAGCCAGGGCATGCCCAGCTCATGGTGATGGCAAAAACACAATACATCAAGCCCAATTCCAGCTCACATCACGTCTACGGTCATCCCATTGACCACAGCAAGTAAAATTACCAAGTCCAGAGTCACAGCAAAGTTGCAAGGTAAAAGATGTGGATATATAATTATAGTCCAAATACTGGAGATTGCAATGGGAAGGGTTGCCAAGAGTTAGAACAATAATCCAGATCCTCTCTAATCCTCTCCTACCACCATCTGCCCAATCCATGATAGCTAAAGAACTTAAAATAAGTCTACTACAAATTTAGTTAAAATCTAAAAGGAAGAATAAATCTGGTACTCCCCAAGTTTGCATTCAAAAACAGCCCTTTTTTTTTTTTAATTCTCCACACCACCACTTACTGCTAGCACAAAAGATAATTAAGAGAATGTGTTTGTTAACTCAAATTTAAAGAGGATCTCCACCCAATAATTCATTCAGCCATTTTTTATTCCTGGCCATCAAAAGCTATATGGAAGAAAAAAAGAAAGCAGTTCAACAAGAGAAAATACACCAGCTACACAAAACTGTACCTTTAAGTCATACTTCACTTCATTTCATGTCCTTATTCTAGAAATGCAAATATGAAAAATTTAAGATTAGCTTCTGAACTCCCTCACCCAATTGCGGGAGAAGGGTACAAGTTAGAAGCAGGGCAGGGCAGGGGACAAAGGCATCATAGAAGTTTCAGAAAACAAAAACAAAACAGAAAACCAGCAAAAAAGATATTGAGAGGGTATAAACAATTCTTGCTTTCTTCAAGTTGAGCATATCCAACAAAAATAGAACCAAATATCTCTATTACTTCCATTACAAGATAAACCTTTTATTTTTTTACCTCTATTATATCAAAGGCTGGACCCTTCATTTTGCTGGGGAGGGGAGAATGCATTTGTTGCCTGTGAACACAGGGCTTTGTTTTTGCTTTGTTATGTTTACTTGGTTATGTGTGGTATCAGAACAAAAGGTCTTCGTCTAGTTTAGCACTTTTTTCCAATATACCCTTAAGAACACAGAGACTGAAATAACATCTGAGAGTCCCAAGTGTTTTGAGCTGAGAGCATAACAAAAGCTTTGCTATGCTACATAAAATTGAGCCGAGATTCACAGATACTAACAATAATGCATTTCTGCTTTGTGCTTTTCATCTTGATATGTCTGAATTACCCACTTTCTACTTTCCTGCAGCTCCCTGCCCCCAACTCAAGAGCCACCATCTCTCAGTTCAAAAGGTTATTATGTTTCAGGGCTGTGTAAACAAGAAGAAATAACACAGTTCATTATAAAACATAATCCTAATACTTTGGCCTACACCAGCCTTTCTCCTTCTTATTAGAAAGGAAAGGTTACATTTACTTTAATATATATTCAAGGCTGAGAAATCAGGTGTCAATTAACGAATGCACTGTCACGTAGCTTAGATTTATTCCCAAGGTGGACATTTCAAATCATGTAATTGTCCAATTAATATTCCTGCAACTTCTTATTTTGCAACAAATTACAAACACTTACTCAAAGTTCTTGATTTCCAAATGGCCTTCTCATTCCCACAAAGATTCTAGAATTCACTTTGAGTTAATGCTAATGTATTTTATCCTCTGAGTCAACAAAAAGGAAGCAGATACCTTCAAGGAAAGGAGTTGCTTGTCTAAGGCACGAGCAAGTTCCAACATCATTGCACAAGGAACGGCTGAATCAGTGGCTCCCACAAACACCCTGCTGTCCCAATGAGGAAAATACTTGGAGTCGTAGTGGCAGGCGAGGACCAAGTGTCGTTTAGCAGTGGGGTTGAGGGTGCTGATGATATTTGAGAAAGACCGGTATCCATAGGGCGTCTTACTTACGAAGGTGTCTACTTCTAAGACCCAGGCAGCCTGAAGTCTCTGAATTCGCTGCATGATATGCTGATCAAAACAAAAAACAAAAGATCAGATATAAACAAATGATTTTCATTTGTCAACTATGTTTCTATTTTTCTTTTTTTTGAGACAAGGTCTTGTTATGTACCTCAGGCTGACCTGGAACTCTCTATATAGCCCAGGCTGGCCTTGTATCTTTCTATCTCAGTCTCCTAAGTCTGAAATTTCAGGTGTGCACCACCATTCCCTGCCTTGTGTTTCTAAAATTTTATGTGTTGTCTTTCAAGTTACGATTACAATACATGTGCATTAATACACACGTGTGGAAATACAATTAAACCCATTTGTACAATTAATTTATGTTACAAAAAAGATTACATGTTTATTATACTTAGTAATAATATTGCTATTATTATTGTAAATAATAGTAATTTTCTTATTTAATGGAAAAGCAAATGTTCTCCCTCTCTCCAACCTTCCTCGTACCAACCAATCCCAGCCAATTGTCAATGTTAACCAATGTTAACACTTTGATGTAGATCTTCCCATTTTACTTACACAAATAGATACTAGCATACAGGCACATATATTTGGCAGAGGAGCACGTGTGTTTTAGGAAAAGATTCCTACTTTATATATTACTATGCCCCTTGCTTTTCTCACTTAATTATATATCATGAACATATCTACAAGTCAGGAGACAGAGATCCAGTTCAGTAACATTTTTGAATATTTAATTTTAATACTTTTTCAGTATTTCTAAGAGACTAAGAAGGCATGTTTAAAAAATCAAATAGATCAGACCTATAAGTCTCTAAGCTTTTCAAAGGTAAGAATTGCAAACAGTAGCTCTTTTGCACCAAATGCATAGCATATGCCCCAAGTCACACAAATATTTCATATGTGCTGAATGATAACAGAAGATACTAACACCTACATGCTAAGGATAGTGAAGAAAGATCCCATGATGAGGGGCTGGATGGGAGATAGTTATACTCTCTGCTCACTCCAAGAATCATTAAGAAACTCTGATCCATACTACATATCAAGAAGCTTTCCCTCTGTACCCAAGACAGGTCAAAATCCACTGCTAATGCTGGTAAAAATGAGAAAAGCTCTCTTTCTGCTCTTTCCTGGCCACCTTAGTGGAGAAAGGACCACAGCTTCCTTAAGAACCTAATATCCATGGTTTGAGAAGTTATGGGTGAGTTCAGTGCTGTTTTATCTGTACTTTCCCATCCTTATTTTCCCTTGACCTAATTTTCTACACTAGACTCCCCTTCCCCCCAATATCATGTACGTCTTTGCAAGTTGCCTTAAATTACTTCTTAAAAACTCAAACCACAAACTAGGCATCAAAATAACTGACAATTATTTTGATGCCTAGTGCCAGGGATGGAACTTGAGATGATGGACAAATTAGCTTACAATAGCTGGAAACAAATAGAAGCATTTTTTTTCCTCCCAAGGAAATACAGGATTTTCAATTCTAGCCAAGTAGCTCGTTAATGTGACATGACACATAGGCAAAAAGGGCCTTGAAAAAACTATAGCAGGAAGCCATAGTTGGGGGTGCAGACAGGACACTGATTCTACAATAATACTGAAAAAGCCAAATAAACAGCTCCTCATTCACTCCTTGCTTTTGGTAGCCTAAATAGCATTGTGAACACCATACCTCACCTTCCTTTTCTACTACAAGTTTACATATCTTTCTACATCATCAAAAGAAATGTTTCTAACCTTTCTGCAATCAGCATTCATATCTCACTTATTTTGTTATTCTCTACAATTCTTAGTACGATGCCATGCTCACAGCAGGTTATCAGTAAAAATGCATTGATTATAACAGTAAATATTGGTCGATGAATACATAAAACTATACAATAAAGAACATTAGTCATCTGTGAGAACCCATGTGCAGCTAAGATAAGCTTTTCCAAAGAATATGCAAATGAGTTATCCCTACACTTTGCAAATGATTTTTTCCATAAAAGGGGTCATCTTAAAAAAAAAAAAAAGCATATATTCCAGAACATCTGGTATCCAGATGATGATCTGCTCCATAAAATGGCTTCTTAACACCAATAGCAGTCTGCTGAATAAACTGGGATCTTTAAACTTGTAATCAGGTCTCTTGGCCATAATTTCTGATGTCTACATGTACCCTAACATCCACAAAACATTAGCAAAAGTCCCCAGAAGAGTTCTCCTTGAAGTAGCCTTTTTGCATTCAATATAAATATTTTTTATTTATCTTAGCAACTACAATAAACAATAAAATTGGCTGCAAAATCTAATTAGGTCACCAATACCTCTTGTGTTTTGGCTTTCAGACTCAATCTGCAACTTCCCACCACAAATTTCCAAAGGAGGCTCCATGAATCACTGCTTTTATCACTAGTGTCACCCCTAAAGTCTGAACCAGCTGGGCTTCCCTGACTCCAAGGTACAAAAGGCTGGGCCTTCCAGGCCTGATGGGAGAGGAGTGGGGAGACTCATGGCACTTACTTCCACTTCTGGGTAGAGCAGTGACAGGGGAGGGTGTCCTAGATTTACATTAGTGAATGATCCTGGGTCTAATTTAATTAAACCTAAATTCTAATTTCCAGATTCTGAGAAGCAATGACATCAGTCAACCAGGGTTGTGTGGAGGAAGCAGATTCTCCAATATTTGTACTGTCTGCAAACACACTACTGTCAGGATGCTGACCCCTGCCACTGTGAACTTTGGGTACGTTTTCTTGGATGTATCACACACAAGTCTCCCAGGCTCCAAGCTGAGCGTGCTCCACACAGGCCCCTCCACTCAGGAAGTTGGATTAAAGGTTCACCCTAGAATATACTTACCTTTCACTGAAAAAGTTCAATTTCAGCTTCTCAGACATGCTGTGCACCCCTGATTTTTTCTAGATTGCCTCTCTTGGACAAAGAGAGGACTCACACTTCTTCATGTATCTTTGTCATATTGATTTCTTATTTTTATTCCTATCTTAGGAATCACTGAAATACCCCCAAATTTAATGCCATCTAATTATTTAATAAATAATTTATTTATAAAATAAAAGATAAATTTAAATATTCTAGTAATCTAATAGGCAGCTTTGGGCTCACTGATCAAGGCCCATAAAAATGCAGGCTGTGAGATATGATTCCCCTAAACCATTCTCTTTTTCTGAAAGAGGATTCACAGCAATGCACATCTTTATTGATAACAGCAAAAGTTAATTAAGTGATTTTATATCAAATTCACAGCGTTTCAAGATTTGAGGGTCTTTTCCAGTTATAACCCTATAACTCTGTGAATTATTAAACATCTGATCTAGTTCCTAGAACACTGCTGAAATGAATGGTATGAACCTCACTCTCCAACTTAGGGTCTGGGAAGATCTAGTGCTAAAGAGACTTGAGTGCACATAGCATGAAGCTGGTTCCTCCCAGCTCCTCAGTGATAGGGTGGAGAAGTCAAGCAGATTTGGGTCCAAATTACGGTCTCATCACTAGTAACATGAGCAAATGTATTAAAACCCCAACATTGAGCAAATAAATTCAGATGTCTTTTTTAATCCTTAACACTGGTATAGAAAAATAGTACCCACATGGTAGCATTGTTATAAAGACTGAGATGAAACAGTGCTCAGTAAAAGATAGCCATCACCATACTGTTCCTAAGTCTGCCTAAACATTAGAAAGAACTAAAGCCAGGAGTGGTAGCTCACATTATAATCCCAGCTACTCAAAAGGTGGAGATCAATAGGAGCTCAGGTCAAGGCCAATCTGGGGTAAAAAGTTAGTGAGACCTCATCTCAATCAATAAGCTAGGTGTGGTGGCATCTGCTTGTGATCCCAGCTACAAGGGAGGTCATAAGTAGGACGGTCATAGTCTGAGGCCAATCCTGGGTGCAAATGCAAGACCCTACCTGAAAAATAACCTACAAAAAAAGAGAAAAGAAAAAAGGAGAGGAGAGGCTGGAGGCATGGCTCAAGTGATTGAGCACCTGTCCAGCAAGCATAAGACTTTGAGGTCAAACGCTGTTGATGTTGGGGTTTTAGGATCAAAAAAAATTGGTTAGGGGCCCGGGGTGGAGAGTTAAGGACTTAGTACCCTGTCTGATGTTGTACCCTAAATGTAAACTGATTTAGATTAACATGTATCACTTAAATCAGAATAGATATTTACTCTCAGACCTGTGATTTTCTTGGTTTCTTATAACAGTGAGTAATGACATAGCCAGTCTGAATATTAGACAACTCAGAACTTCAGCCATAATGCTCCTCATGAAAAAGCAAACTATTCAACAACTTTTAGGTTCTCACCTGTCGAGCAGCATAGCTTCCTGGGGATCCCGGATATCGTTCTATCAGCAATGGTCGTAAGTCATTTTGCCACATTTCAGAAATACTGGTGCCTTCTGCAATTTGCCGAAGAGAAGATGAATTCAAAATAGCTGGTTGGTGATGATTCTAAGGATTAAATAAAATTATTTAACTGTCTATAATTTTATAGTACATTTAAGACTTAGCCTGATACAATTGTAATTAATAGCTTTAAACTTCAAAATAAAGGAGGAACTTTAATGTCATATGAGGTAAATTAAACTCTTCAACTGTAAAATTGGTCCCTTACATCTAGAAAGTTAAAATTTTCGGCAGCTTATTTTAAAAAACAAAATTGACAGAATGCTTTCAACATGGGAATTAATATTTCACACCTGTGTAACTTTTATTAATTTCTAAACAGCTGCTTTGTAAAACTGAGATTGAAAAACAAAGTATGGATCCCTTCTCTTAAGAAAATCTAATATTCAAAAAATGGTTGTCAACAACAAAACGATGTATTTTGTTACCACAATTTGTTTTATATAAGGCAGTATGGTGTTACCGAATGACCATTGTTAGAGGGTCAGGGAAGTTGACTTTGAAGCTCTAGCTGCCCATGACAATGGGTGGGCCTTTTAACTTCTCATTTCCTCAGAGAAACTAATAAAGGAATCTGATCTGCATCTGCACTATCCAATATAGTAGACACTAGCCACATGTGTCCATTAAGGGCCTGAAATGTAGCTAGTCAAACAAGTTGTGCTTTTAGTGAGAGATACACACTGGATTTTGAAAACTTAATGTGAAAAAAAGTAAGCTAATAAATGCTTACATGTTGAAATAATAATTTTTTTATATTGGGTTAAACAAAATATATAATTAAAATTAATTTCACCTATTATTTTCTACTTTTTTTAATGTAGCTACTAGAAAATTTAAAATCACATATATGCATCTCATTATCTATTTCTATTGGACAGCACTGACCTAAGCAATCATTGCCATTCCTTTCAACTCAGCTTTCAATTCAGTCCCATCACTTATTAGCTGTAACTATGACCAGGTTACTTAACCTCATTCAGGCTCCATTTCCTCATCTGAAAATTGGAAGTAATAACACCTATAACCAGGGTAATTAGAACTAAATGAGCTAATATATGTACATTGCCATAGTAAATATTCAATGCATCAGTTCTATGAGTCCCTCTGTCAAACATTAGAGCTGGAAAAAACACTTAGAGGTAACGTAGAACAACCTCTCTGATTTATATCAGTGAAAACTGAGGTTCATAGAACCAGCTGGTTCTCCAATGCTGTAGGAGACTTACAGCTAAACCCTTGAAAAGGCCCTGGGCTGTGGGTTCCTGATCCAATGCTACTTCTACTCTGCCTTAGCTCTGCACTTCCAGTTTACTCCTGAATGTAGATGCTGTGCCTAGGTACACTAAGGTTCCTGTTCATTTACTGGTAATGCATTTGAAAATATATCTCCTTAATAAATTTGTCACTGTAGCTTAAATTTATTTGTATCTACAGGGCCCAAGTCCTCGTGTTACATCTCAAACAGCACTTGACAAAGAGAACTGAAGCTAGAAGGCAAAACAAGAGAAATGTGAGATGGGAACAGAAGAAAATGGAGGCAAGAGGTGGAAGACTTCTATGGTTAATTATTACTTGACCACCCAGCAGGAGCTGTCTGTCTCCCTGACTGCCTCACAAGCCCCATGTAGTGCTACTGGCTCCTGCTTGCCATGCACTAGCATCCACCCAGGCCCCAGAGCACTGTTGGGGCATTGGCGTAGGCAGTGCCTCCTGCTTCACAGTCTGGTTCCCTTTCTCTTCACCTGGTGAACTCCTGCCCACTTCAGATGGCAGTGTGGATGATTCCACTTCTTGTATATTACTTGTTTAATGTCTGTATTTCATGCAAGCCTCTCCTGAGAGCCACAAAGGGCCTGGTTCATATTGAATAGTTAGTAAATAATGGAAAATTCATCAAATATGGATTCAACAGATGAACTATTTTTCTAAAACTATCTTTGCTGAGACTGTGTTTACATAATAACAAAGCAAAAGTTTCATTTTTCCCCATCATAAATAACAGACCAGCTGAATGCACAAACAAGTAGAAAGACAGAAGAGACATGTGGCTACTGCTGCAAGAAGCCAGATAAGTGCCTGGTTCAATGTGAGTGGGTTTTGTTCTTTTTTAATTTCTGACAGTGGATGCCTCTGACAATTAGCTTGGTTGGCCCAGAACAGTCACAGTGTCAATCAAGTACTGTGTCAGCTGAGCACAGGTAGCTAACGCCTATAATCCTAGCTACTCAGGAGGCAGAGATCAGGAGGATCATGGTTTAAAGCCAGCCTCAGGCAAATAGTTCACAAGACCCTATCTCAAAAATAGCCAACACAAAAAAGGGTTGGTGGAATGTCTCAAGTGGTAGAGTGCCTGCCTAGCAAGTGTGAGGCCCTGAGTTCAAACTTCAGTACCACCAAAAAAAAAAGAAGAACTGTTGTGTCAAAAGCTATTTCACCTATTTCACCAGTAGCTCCTTTTCTATTTACTGTCCATTATTCCATCCCAGAGCCTAAGCACTCACTGTGGTCAGAGTCCTTCACTTCTTGTCCACAGTGAAATCAGGCTCTGTTCAAGTAAGTGGTTTATAGAGGCTTGAAACAGTTAAGAGACCTAAGTCAAAACAGGTGCAAAACAAACAACCATCCAGTATCTCTAACTGTAAGAGATATTGTGCCAAAGAGCTTCTTGGAGGATACAAAGTTCAGCAGACGGGCCAGTGGATACTCATGAACATAAAGCCTGACGTGCTGCAGCTCAAACTTCTGGGCTCAACCACTTCATTAGCACACTTCACTAAAGCGCCCCTTCTCTCTGTGGCAGTAACAGCCTGCAAAATCAGATACAAGCTTCCCAACCGGGAAGGGTAGAGAAGGTGAAACTACACTGTTAATTACTTAAGCTCTTATTCATTAAAGCTGTGTGTGGGAACGCATTTGATTTTCCCACTTTAAATAGCATGTGTTCAATTGCTAAGGACTCTTGCTGTCAGAACTCAATCTAATCTCCCTACATGGAGATTAGAAAATCAAGTAAGAGAACAACCCTGGGAAGAAAGAGTAGTTCAGCAGGACAGTGACTAAGGCCAAAAACATATTGAGCCCAATGGTAAATGCAAACCTCAAATTATACCAGGCTTATTCAGTTAAAAGGCATTAGACAGTTTCTCTTGGTGCAGGCGTTCTCAGAGGAATGAGGTTCTGTTACAGCCCTGGCCTTGTCTTTTCATCCAGGCAGAAAGGACAATATGTCTGCTCTGGGTGACAAGAATCTTTCAGCAAAAAACGTGTGAACCAGATATCCTGAAGCATCTCTCATATAATCACATGGTGCCAGGCCAGAGGGGTTTAGTTACATAATTTGGAGAATTGGCCCTTCTAGAGGGAGTTGAGCTTCCCAACCACTGAATTAAAGGAAGAGCATTACAGCAGGACAGTTAATTCAAGCTTCTACCCTACATGAGCATACAGCAGTCCTCAGGTTAACTCCTCTGCCAACCTCCAAATTCATCTCAGCCAGCATTTACTGCAATTCTGTGTGTCAGATGCCCCGACATTACAAATGCTGCTGGAAAGGACTTGGGAGCTGAATAAATTAATGTTTATTTTTTAAAATGCAACAGCACTTCTTAACATCAGAGCAGAGCCGGTTTTAAATGAAACAATTTAGGGTCCAATCCTAGCACCCTAATTTATTAGCTGTGTCTAAGAAGAGGTTCCTAATGTGTAAGATGGATATCATAGTACTTACTCAACAGATGGTAGAGATTCCAAAGTGACGCTTTTTTTTTCTCCCTCTATTTACATCCAGCCCAGCACTGACCTCCCTGGCCCTGTCCTAGAGACTCCATCACTGCTTCCAGGAGAATCACACAGGTGGAAGAGTGAATGGCTAAGAACTTAGAACCATGGGGCAGGCCCTAAGGAATTTAGAATACATGTGGTTCCAGCAGAAGAAGAATATGAAGTGCTAGAGATAACAGTTAAGTTTCCCAGAGCCCACCGCCCTAGAGAAGGACTCCCAGCCCCAGGCAACTCTTATGGGTGAGGTTCCTCTCTTCAAAAAATCGGCCCCACCCCTAATATGACTTGAATTTTTCTATTTCAACTTTGTTATAATGAAGGGAAGTTCTTCCAGTTATAATACACTGGCTTGCAGTTTTATAATAGGTGTTTGCATCAACCTAAATATTCAAGAAGAAGTAGTTAAATTATATCCTGATGATGATTTTGCAATCATCAAATGCTGCTTTCAATGAATTGGCTTAAGGTAATATTCATAATATACTATTAGTCAACATAGCAAAATTTAAATCTGTATCTGCAATACAAACTACAAGATGAATTATTTTAAAATAATTACAATTATTGAGCTTTATGGTAAGACAACTACTGTGCTATGTTTTACAAGGGCCTGAGATCTGTATAAGCTAGCTCTATAAATGTAAATGTGAGTGTGTGTGAAAGAGAAATAGTTAAAGCAGTTACCTCTGAAAAGTGGGATTATGAGTGATGGTAGTTCTCTTTTTATATACTTTTTTCATTTTCTGTTTCTCAAATGAGTACATGTGAACTTCATAATTGGGGGACTTACAAAAAGCCATACTTTTTAGTTTATTGGAGCTAATATCCTCTTTAAAAACACATGAAGCCCTTTCAACAGCCAGCAGTCCTTCATACCTAATGGAGGGCTGAATCACCTAATGGAGATTCCCTTTTAACAACTGGGGGATAATGCTGTACTAAAAGAATAGGCCTATACTTACTAAAAGGGATTGGGGGGCTGTAGGGTTTGGGAAACATTGTTCTCAGATTTCAAGTAACCAGATCATGGTCTCTGAACACAATCACAAACCAGGGATCATCTGCTTTTGCACGTTAAATGCCACAGAAAGAGACACACCTTTATTTCAAAACAAAGGAAAAGGGTTTCAAAATCCATGCTTTCTTTACCACGCCTCTCCTGCTGGCAGATGTGAATAGTAAGAGCACACCTTGTATGATTAAAATAGTCAAGCATCATAAAAAGCAGGAAGACATGTATCTTAGTGTGCACTGACTCATCTCCCAGGTTGCAAACTGTAGCTGGCTGCCTGGAAGACTTTATGAAGGCCTCCAAAAGGAGGGGCGTAGAAATCAGAAAATGTCAGGTTGATTGTCATTTACTTCTGCCACTGGCTTCACTTACTGAAGCCATTTGAAAGGCATTTAGTGTCCCAGTGCAACAGTGATTAGAATCTTCTTAAAATAAATACAACAGAGATTAATGCTTTAAGAGACATATCTCAGGAGTTAAAATCTCATTAGTTGAAAACAAGAATCACATCACCTCTCACTCACAAATACCCCCCCTACACCTGCCTTGGGACTTGTTCATTCTAGCAATTTCCATCTCATTTATTCCCATTCATTAGATGTGTCTTGAAAACACATTTGGGGGCTGGGGGCAAGGTTCAAGTGATAGTGCACCTCCCTAGCAACCATATGATGAAGTCTTGAGTTCAAACCCCAGTATTTCACACACACACAAAAAGATACATGTGGTGTGCTGTGTGTCACCACATTCTGGTTTTAATAGCCTCTTCCCAATGTCTGACCAGGAAAGCATTCCCAGAGAAGCAAAGGAGAGGACTTTGCTTGGGATCCAGTGTTCTTTATGGGCATCACTCCTACATAGGTAACTCTTTTTCTTACAATTAAGTGGACTGGACTTCCTTCACCCCCCACCAGGTCTCCCTGTGTAAGGGGGGAGGGAACTGTCTTGGATCCTGAAAGCTAATCTGTTTAAGCCTGATTAAGAACTGAAGTGCATGTATTCACATACACAGACACGTCACTGGGTGAGAGGGCACCTGCACCCGTGCGCCCCGCATGTCAAACGTTCCAGCAAAGACGGGCATACTGAAAGTGTTTGGAAGACCTGCTCAGTAACACTGTCAAAGTTTCTGTCCCAGGACTTGTTGCTTTCCTTAGTTTCTTTAAAAGCACACATTTTTCTCCAAAACCATTAACATTTGCACGGTCCTTAGCAATGTCATGATTTCAAAACTGTTGTTCAAGAAAAGGAAGTAATTATGAATCTATTTACTTCACAGAGACTTGCACATCATTTTTATCCTAAATTCCTGCTATGAGATTTTCACTACAATTAAATGCATTTCTCTGAAAGTAGCATGTGTCCCCTTTTAACTGGAAAAGGAAAAAAAATGAAATAAAATAAAGCGGGACTCCAGTTAAGGGTCTACGTACTGGCTTAAAAAATCCAAAACAACAACCCCTGTCAGTCCTGGGAGCTTAACGCCCAGAGCGCATCCTTGGATGCAGCGGTGGGGCGCTGCGGTCACACCCCCTGGTGCGCCCCGCACTGCTGGCCTCGCGGGTCGCGAGTGGGTGGCCGCGGGCGAGACACACACTTCCTGCGTCTATCAACACCCCCATCCGAGCACAGCCGAGGGGAGGCCGGTGACATCACCCAGCCCCCTGGCGTCTGCAGCGAAGCCAGGAGGTGGCCGAAGCACCCAGGCGAGGACATTGAGCGCGGAGTCTCCGGGGCGCTGGGTAGGGACGCGGATGCCTGGGCACGGGACGCAGCCCTGGCCCGCCCCCGCCTGCCTAGGAGGGGCTGGCGGAGTCCGGGGTCCCCGCACGGGATACGACACGCAGAGGCAGCCCCTCACCTTGTCCTCGGTCCAGGCAGAGGCGCCCCGACTCACACTCCCGGCTGCCGGGGACAGGGCGGCCGTCAGCAGCAGCAGCAGGTGGAGGGTGCCCATGACGAGCCTGTCCCCGCCGCCTGCCATCTCCGCAAGGCTGTGTGGGCGCCGGTTCCCGGGGCGGCCAGCGGTCACGAGCCCGGGAACGCGCGTCCGTCGCCTTCCCCCTTCTCCACCCTTGGGTCGACTGTGCCCGCCTCCCCATCGCCTCCGGTCGCCTCCCGTGGCGTGGCGCAGGCTGCAGCTCCCCCCCTCCTCCCCCAGACTTTAGCAAAACTGTGAGGCGGGGGGGACTGCCCAGAGTGACACGAGCTTCTGAAGCCAAGGGAACAAAGCGGAGCACTTCCTTGTCTTGGAGAGGATGAAAGGAAGGAAGGAAGAAGAGACATGGAACGGCCTTTTTATGATCTCCAGTGCCGTGACAGGGAATAGAAAGGGCAGGAAAAGGTTCATAGGGCCCTGGGGCTATGAAGTGTTTTTCCGAAGCTCTTTAATTAAAAATGAGCAGGGAGTCAACCTTTCCTGAACACTCTTCGCAGCTACTGTCCTGGGTGCTTTTTCAATGCTTCTTTATTTAATCTACTAATCCCATTTGATAGATAAGGAAACAGATTCTCTGGCAAAGGCCTGCACTAGAACCCTCTATAGAACGTGTTTCCTCTGTAACAGTGCAATCTTTATCTTTTCTCACAAATAGTTGCCTTGCCTTCTAACAGTCAGACCACCGAACTCCCAAACTGAGAAGTATGCTGGTAGTAATTATCTGAAACATCACAGTGGTTCTGAAGGCAAGGCAGAGTCGTTGTCTCAATGCATGCCTCCAAAAGGAAAAGCCAAAAGAAATTTACAGTTGGCCCTCTAAGTCCATGGATTCTGCATCCACAAGTCGAAAATACTCAGGAAAAAAAAAATTGAATCTGTACTTGAACATGCACAGGTGTTTTCTTGTCAGTAATCCCTAAACAACATTGTATAACAATTATTTTCATAGTATTTATATCACATTAGGTATAAGTGATCTACAGATGATTTAAAGTGTATGGAAGTGTGTGCACGTATATGCAAATGTTATACTTTTTTGTGTAAGGGACATCAGCATCCATGGATCTTGGTATAGGGAGGTCTGGAATCAATCCCCTACAAATACTGAGAGGTGGCTGTATTTGTTACATCAGAAGTCATTGTTATCCAGATAATCTTATTAAAACAAACAAACAAACAGGACTGTGGATATAGCTCAATGGTAGAGCACTTGCCTAACATATGCGGGACCCTGGGTTCAATACCTGTAAGTACAAAGAATAATTTTGTCTGTAGGTTTCTGGTCTAAATTGTCAGGACAACTACTGATCAGGGATTGGTCTGTCCTAAATCATCTCCCAGTCACAGAGCTCCCAGAAAAATCAGGTCAAAGACATTTATACAGAACTATTTCCTAGGCATCACAGTAGAAGTTAATGAAGCCTGCCAGAAAGCCCACCCACTCTATCTTCCTAGGCTTGGCTACAGAGTGAGTTTTCAAGAAGAGATAGGGCTGACCTGGGGACACACTATTCTGCCCCCCTCTGGAACTGCAAGGAATGACAGAATGGAAGCATCTCCTTTGCTGATTGCGAACCCTACTCATGTCTGAGAGTTATGAGTGACAATTTAAATATCCAGGCTTAAATGATGTGAAACAGCTTCTTCATTACAGCCAGGGACAGTTCTGATGATCTGACCACTTCAGAACTTTATATTGGTTCAGTATTCAGAAGAAAAAAAGAACTTATCACATGTCCCAATGTATTTCCTCTCTTGCTGTCTAAGCCAACCTTGAAATGGTGGGTTTCCTAAGTGACTTGAGTAATAAAGAACCTGTTTTTCTTACCCTAGTACCTTCCTATAAGGAAGTAGAGGTAGAAATGACAAACCTCTATGAAACAAAATGTGAACCATAATATCATGCAATTTAAAATAAGAAATATGGAGGACACTTGAGCTAAAATGTTAGCACATCATTTGATGATGATTTTCTATTCCCTGGAGTTCTCCAGTTTTGGTTACATTTAAGTGAGTAAAGTGCTGTTGCAGTTTGACATCTACAGGAAGCAGACTCTGAGACAGTATGGCAAGCAGGATGTGTATTAGGGAGTGCCCTTGGGACAAGCCCTATGGGAGGAAGGAGGAACAGGACAAGGCAGAGGGAGAAGTACTTCTCTGTAACCACCACAAATGCATCCCTGTGAAAGATCATGTACAAATCCAAAACATTTCACCTAACAGTGGAGGCTGATTTTAATCAATTTTTAACCCCTGTGGGATTTTCTTTTTACAACTTTTCACAAATCTACAAATCCAAACCAACTACAGGTATCTTTACCTTCCTTACTCACTTCCTGTGTCTTCCTCCACTTTCCTTTGTTCATTCTTCTGTTCTCCCCTTCTTCGTTCTAGAAATTTTTAGAAATCCTGTGTATCTGCTCTGTTTTCCTACTGTAACTTTTCCTTTCTTAGTCTCATTATGGAAAATAACCAAAACCTTTTACTTTTAACCAAAGTTCCAGGCCCCAGTTTTCTATCAGAGAAAAAGAAATCAGTTGTATATGCAGTGATAACATGGTCTACAAGAAGATGGGTATCATCTTAAAATGAATTGGATACTGTGACTTAAAGGACATGTAGGACTGAACTGACCCCCTCCCCCACCCTCCGCCAAAAAAAGATCTTCCTGTCAAGATGCTATGGTAGGATTTTCATACACCCAGTTCCATCTTTAAAATGACACCATTAGACTAAGGCAGTAATGACCAGAGTTCTCCAAGTGTGGTCTATGTACCCCATGAGATTCCCTGAGACCCTTTTAGATAGATGCCTTCATGGTGAAAGGATTTTTTTAAATAAGCCAAAGCAAGATTTGCCTTTTTCTTACAGCATTGACTTTATCTTTTCAACAGTTTTAATGCGCGTTAGCTGCAAAACATTAAACTGGAAACATTTAAAGTATTCATGTGATGAGTCAGCATATATGTATACTTGTGAAGCCACAATCAAGAGAATGAACTTCTCACCCTCTCCAAAGTTTTCTCCTTTTCCTCATAATTCATCCCTCCACTACCCAAGCCCAGACAACTGCCTAGCTGTCTTCCAAAATCATTATACAATTTCGTACTATCACAATCAGTATATGAGAATTTCAGCTCCTCCACGTTCTCACCACTATTTCATATGGTTACTTTAATATTTTAGCCATGAGAATAAATGATTGATGTCACTATTTTTTTCTATTGTATTTCTGGTTTTTTATTTTGTTTTTGGCAGTTCTGGGGATCAAACCCAGGGTCTTACCCATTCTAGGCCAGTACTTTACCACTGAACTACATCTCCCACCCTTAGTTTTTTGAGACAGGTTCTTGCTGTAGAGCCCATGCTGGCTTCAAATGAAGCTCCTCTGGCCTCTGCCTCCCAAATCCTGGGATTATAGGTATATACCACTGTGCCCAGCTTCAGCTTTATTTTCTGTTCCATTAATTTCTGCTCTGATTTTTATCATTCCCTTTCTTTTGCTTACTTTGGGTTTACTTTGACACTCTTCCCATTCCATTTAAGTTTTGATAAATGGAAACTTAGAGTCATTAATTTTCACATTTCATTTTTTTAATAAGAAACCTTTATTCTCTCTAATTTACCTTTTAGTGCTACTTCATCTGTGTTCGTGTATTTCAATATGTTGACTTTTTTTTCAATTTTTTTTGTTTTATTATTCATATGTGCATACATGGCTTGGGTCATTTCTCCCCCCTGCCGCCACCCCCTATGTTGACTTTTTGTTTTCATTCAGTTCAAATAATTTCTAGTTTCCTAGAAATTATATTTCAAATAGTTGAAGATTTCCTTGGGGTTTTTTGTTGTTATCTCAATATAATTCATTTTGGTAAATGTTCCTTGTGCACATGAAAAGAATATGTATTCTATTGTATTAAGTAGAGTGTTCTATAAATGTCAAGGTGGTTGATAGTGGTGCCCAAATATCCCGTATAATAACTGACCGTCTGTCTACTCATTCTACTGATTACTGAAAGAGAGGTGTTGACATCTCTGACTATAATTGTGAAATTGCCTATTTAGTTCTGTCAATTTTTATATTACTTCTATCTTCCTAATAAGAATATAAATGTTTAGGGTTGCAATGTTCTCATTAAAAAATGGTTCGTTCATCATTATTAAATAACTGTATTTCATAATATTCTTTGCTGTGAAGTCTACTTTTTTCTAATATTAATATATTACTCCAACTCTTTTGATTACTGTTAACATGGCATATTTTTTCATCTTTTACTTTTAAGCTATGTTCTTATTTCTATTTAAAAATGGACTTATTAAGACAAATGAAATAAAATAAATTACATTAAAGTAGGCTTGGTATAGGCAGTATACATGTACATCTTGCTTTTTATTCAATTGGACAATCTCTGGCTTTTAAATGAGGTATTTAGATTACTTCTACTTAATGTTATTGATATGATCAAATTTAAATACACCACTCTATGTTTTCTATGTGTTACATATGTTCTTTATTTTCACCATTTTTTTCTGATTAGGTTGGTTAATTGATTTTTTAGTATTCATTTTATCTCTTCTGTTAAGATTTTAGCTATTTCTCAGCTCTTTAGTTTTGAGGTTTGTGTGTATGTGTGTTTACCTTAGGATTTGTAGTATAAATTTTTAATGTACCACTCTCTATCTTCAAGAATCACTTACTGGGTAATATAAGAACCTTACAAGAGCATACTACTATTTCTTCTCTCTTAGTCTTTGTGCTGTTTTGGTCATACATTTAACCTCTAAATACGTTTTATACTCCATAATAAGTTATTATCTTTTCATTAAGCAATATTTTTCAAGCAGATTATTAAAATGAGGGGTTTTTTTAAGTCTTCTTCATTTACATTCATGTTTATCATTTCTGGTATTCTTCCTTTGTGTAGATACATACCTCCATCTGGTATCATTTTCTTTGTGCTTAAAATATACTCTTATATGTCTTGTAGTCTAGGTATGAAAGTGATTAATTCTTTGTTTCTACATGCTGAAAATATTTTTCTCTTAATTCTTAAAAATTATTTTCTATGATGGTAGAATACTGTGTTGACATTTTCTTTCTTTCAGTACTTTATAGAT